CCCCCCTCTCTCTGGTCGCTGAAATGGGGAATTTAAATTACGGGCCAAAAGTTGTACAAGTATTAAAAGTAAGCATAGGACACCAAACCAACTGAGACCCGTCTGTCCGCCGCATCTACGCACTGTACAACAAACATCTACACACTGTACCACCATACTTGCCAACCCTTCCGATTTTCGCGGGAGACTCCCGAAGATTTCACTGCCCTTTCCCGGTTTCCTCCCGGGGTCGTATTTCTCCCGCATTTACTAAACTACAGCATACCAATACAGAAAGTAATGTAGGCCTGTTATACTGAGTGATATATATTTTACACACTGCTCTGCTTTCTGCACAGACCTCACAGCTGTTCTCACAGTAAACATCGCGTTGCGATGAAAGCAGTTACTAATATAATATCCAAGGGATGCATGCAGAGCTCTCATTGGCTGAGATAAGTCCGGCCGTGCGTCACGCCTCCACCGTTCCCGGAAGTGCATCCGTGGAGGACCCATCCGTGTCTCCTCGGTTAGAGCTCCTCCAGAGAGCCTCCTCGATGCTCGGTCCTCGAAGTGCATTTAGAGAAATTAGTTGTCCTTCAAAATGGCGCGCTGAAATTCATTTCCAGGTCACTACCGGAGGACCGAGGAGTCGAGGAGTCGAGGAGGGGAAATTTGAGTATTGAGAAACCTCTTGTGTGCCTTGTCTCCCTTGAGGGAGTGATTAGCACCAGGTGTGTGAGTCTCCACCCTCTCCCAATACTGCTAATTGGGAAAGGGTGGAGCCACCTGTTGGGAATGTAGGTGCCTCCCACTATCCTGCGTCTCAGCCCCTTACAATAGCATGGCAAAAACATGCACCCAGATGTCTGTAGTCCGCAATGCTGTTTACATCCGGGTACTCATTAGCTTCTGTTTTGAATGTATACGTTTTTATGGATTTATTTTATGATAACTTTATTCCCTTGTGGAGTGAAATTGAAATTCACTTATAAAGGATCAACAAAGGAACATCTAATCTTCTGCGCTGTAGATTTGAAAGCTTTCCGTTTTCACTTCTCTGTGATTGGCTGAACATAAAGTCACAAAAGAGGCTCAACTACATATTTTACCTAAAAGGAAGGTTACAAATATGCTAGACGACTAATTTCAAATCCAGATAAATTTGACTTTTGAATAGCTACATATACATTTCCTTCAACAGAATATATCCTAAATATGCTGTCATAAACATATAATTCAAGCATCTAAAGCAACACTGTAGACACATTTTTATGGGGAAATCAACAAATCTATGACTTCAGCACTATAACAGCTATAGATGTGATTTGTGCCATGACATCACCAGCAGATGAACAGGAAGTGGAGAGCTGTGTTCTTTCTCACCTTGCCGTGGTAGACGCTGCTGTTCTTGGCGACGGCACACTGCCGGTCCACCAGGAAGCAGTACCTCCTCCTCTCCTCAGACAGAGCGTGCTTGTAGCCCTCTGCGATGCAGTTGTCCAGCTCGCTCTGCTTATTGCTGATGGCCTCCACATACTAGAAACAGCAGGGGAGGGAAATGGTATTAAAAATGGATGGTATGTCTTTATTAAGACATTATCTCACTAATTATGGGGGTTTAATCTGAGAGAAGGACTAAGCCAAGATTACTTCAATTGAAATTTGTTGTGTGCTGTAAAGCTCTGAAAAATGACATTTAAAACAACCAACAGGAACATCTCAACCTATAAATACTGTCCTGATTACTCTGGATAGTGTAGAGACCTTTGAAAACCACTAAATAAATTCCATTGTGTGAATTGGATGATTCATCCCTCCAACAGCTGAAGCTCTGAATGCCTCTTGCAGATGATGGACAGCATCTTCTATGGTTTTGTTATGAATGGACTATGCCAATTTAAACTAAATTGGGCATCATACATCACAATCATGACATATAAAAAGGCAGCGAAAGTGCACTTCCATGTACTGCTTTGAAAGTCAAATTGCTGTTCATATTGAAAATGTCACAGCCAATCAGCGTTGAAAACAGTGAATCAGAACAAAAGAATACTGTCTAATCATAGAGGCGTCTGCTATGTGATGTCGGTGGCTGGTGTTCTGTATTTCCTGTGAAATCGCTGAATTATAGAGCTTTTCCCTTTCTTATTCAAACTCCCTCACCCTTATGGCTTTTAAAACTCCTTCACCCTCCACTCCAACAACTCATCCCACTGAGTCCTCTTGTGTAGAGGTGCGGGGGACACCTCTTTTAAACAAGTGGAACCACTAAGCAACATCCGGCATCGCCTTGACAGGAAGTAGCATGTGGTGAACCCCACTTTGTCCTCGGGGTTAGTTATGTAACTGTAAACATTTGACCCCCATAATGTTGAATAATGTGAACCAGCCTCCTCCGAGTGGCAGACAGCGCTGCAGTATGAGGTGTTAATGACTGTGGCTGAGAAAGTAAGCATCCTACGCACTGTGGAAGTCAGGGGGCAAAAAAACAAACTGCTGGTGAGAGATAGGATTTTAAATGAGGGACTTAAATTACCTAATGCCGAGCTATCATCGAGCATAAGAAGATCATTCATTCAGTTTTCTTTGCAGTCATTATTAGATATCTCTGCCTCAACAACATGCCTATTTAAAAGTGCCACCTGTAATGTTCTGACTATGGAAATCACTAATGTCTTCACAAAAAACAGATATGAAGATGAAACCCAAAGTTCTATTCATCATCTAAACTGAAGTTTTGCTGCTGTGCTAAAACAATTTTAAATAAAATTAACATTTGACAGGGTTACCCAAAAGATATGAATAATTGTTTTTGTTGTCTTTGATTTAAAGACCTGTCATATGCTCCATTCCTACTTGTTTTCAATTCAGATCAGGGATTGTGTTTTTATCTTTAAATATCATTGACTACTTTTTTTCCAATCTTTTTTCATTGGTCATTTGTGAGGAACACATTTTGCCTCAATCTGGGCCGTGGCTAATCATATGCCATACTGGGGGGGGGGGGGATGTAAAAAGTTGATAAGACCACACCGCTCCACTTACACTGCAGTAAGTGGGCCAATTCAAATGTGAACATGGTGCTGCACATGCTAAGAGATTTCATTAAAAGATTATCTACAGATATAGATTGCGGGGACATACACATATCCCTGGATCAAAGGGCTTATAATGATGGTCCACTGCAATATAAAGCATGGAGGCTGAAACACAGATAGACTTATAGCCTCAGTTCTCTGTAGTGTCTGTGATGAAGATATTCACTCTGTTTTAATAATCCTGTAGAGCCAACTTGTTTATGAAAATAACACTTTTAGAAGTAATTCATAGAATATAATGACGTCGTAGATATTTTCATTTTCATTTGTGGGATTTCATCCAAATAAACAGAGGTTTCATCGTGGGTCGATTGTTTAACCAAATGACTGATAACTATTTGATCTGTTGAGATGTTTTAAAACATGACACACTAAAAACAAAAAAGCTAGATAAATAATCTAACCAAAACTCAACTATTTTTACTCAATATAGTGTATCAATTATATTTGTAGGTATGCAAGGGAAAACTTAGAACAGGGCCTTCTTTACCTTCCTTTTCTATACTTGAGTGGCAATTCAATGCTTTTGGTTTGGACCTGTGATTAATCCCATTACAGTTTCCCTGGGCTCTTGTAGTATATCATATCTGTCCGTGGTATTCCTGGTGGCCAAAGGACTGTGACTTGGGGAGAGGGAAACTGTGTGCACTTCACAGAAAGGCAAGGACTAAGTTTTAACTGAGACAAAATGTTGCCATAACATGCTGTCAATGCTATAATCGGGTCTACAAAATATTTAAACATTGTTATTATGCCCACTGCAAGCTTCCAGAAAAAAACAAGAACATTTTCAATGTTCAATAATATGAAACATATACTGTAGAAGCAGCAGAAACAATTATAATTTCTTGAAATACCAGTAGCTTCGTAATCATTTGAATTATTCAGTTTGGGAGTTTTTACATAATCCTGGTGGTCTCTTTCATAGATGTCCTGTATTAAAGTCTAATTCTAAAACCTGCATTATAGCAGTTGAGTTTTGCCAAGGCACATCAACTTAAATCTGTGCTTACCGAAAATCATATAATACACAGGACGGGGAAAGTTGTAGTGCTTTAACAGAATTCAGGGAAGCACCACTACTTTGATATACATTGAAGCGCATTGACCCACTGAGGCTCAGTCCCTTTTCAATAATTGAAGTAGTTTTAATACACCAGCTGTATTCGGTGTATGTGATATGGAGCTCTAATTAGGATTCCAACAGGCCCTTCCTGCCACAGCCAGTCAGCTCCTCGCCTGCAGCTCCCTCTGAACACAAAATATAAATCTGGCCAAAAGCTGCTCCTGCTTTCTGCTGACAGTGAGCACAATCAGCATTTAAGATGTGTGCTGGGAGGGGAGGGGGCTTTGGTGTCCAGCGTTATTGACTGATTTCATATTAAGGAAGGTATAAATCCTAGGTGCAGTGTGAAACGTGTGAAACGTGTGAAACATGTCAGAAAGTGTGGTTTAAACTTGGATTGCAGTTGCTCAGTAATTAGAATAACAACATTAAACATGCTTGTCGAGATGTTTCTACTGTAAGCAACCTCACCAGAGTGATATCAAACACTGATGGAATGCAAATTATTTAATGCATGCTTGGCAGAGCTAAAAGAATACCTGGACTGCTTTAATGAGTTTTGACTTTATTTTATTCCCCTCAACTCAACCCGACAAACCTCTCTGTGTCTAATGGATATGAAGGAAACTGCCAAAAAGCACACAGAAAATGGGCTTCTAATGGCATGATGCCAGTCATCATTTACATCAAGTTGGCATCTTCTTGAGTCGTGTCAGCTGCAGTCAGATACTGTGGGTGTTTCTCAATGTCGAGGACGCTTGCTTGGTAGCACATGTCTTCCGAGTCACTTGTTTCAGAAGCAAGGCAAGAATCCTTCCTGGCATTCGGGAAACGAAGAGTGGAACAGGCGAGCAAGTGTGCAGGTGTGCGTCGCATTAGAGGCCCTGCCTTACAATTTCCGCCACAGATTTGGGGAAAATTGGTCTGTGCGCAAAGCATTGTGGGGATTTTAAGACCGCGGAGTCTACACATGTGCAGTGCCGGGCTCGGTAGATTTCCAAGTATGCTGGACATTGGAACAGTCCTTCGGCGGCACTCGATGACGTAGTATGCTTGAAATAGAGGCTCTGGAGCAGCTTTACTCGAGATTGAGAAACACCCTGTATCTCTACGGAGAAAAGTTTAACGTTGACCCTATAGCTTGATTTTTATGGATACTGTTTTGCATGAGGCAGAGTTAGAAATAATAGCAGTGCATTTACTTTTAGACAAAGCCTTGCCCATTTTTTTTGATAAATGCATTATGGAATGACGAAATACAATGCGAGTGTGCCTGAAGAGACTTTATATCAATTTAGATTTCTCCTTTTGTAAAGGGTTAAGAAATAGATTGATACCTGGTGCCTGTTTCATAAAAAGTAATTTCCCATACTAATAAACTGCATCCTCAAATAGTCATCTGCAGTTTTAAACACTAAAGCTTCATATTGTGAACTGCGACACAAAAACCACACTTGGTTAGTTTGAGTGAAAGATCATGGTTTTGGTTCAACTGTTTTAAGCTAAAATAAGTCAACTTTTACATTTTGTTTCACACAGGACACACACAGCTGTCTCTTGGATGATAGTCCTGTGTTTCAACCTCCCAATGCAGCCTCACATGGACTTGAATTAGAAATGTATTTGCAAAAAACAAAAGTTAAAAGTATCAATTTGAAAAGGATGTTTTGATATGCGAAAAATAGGATTGATGTATTTACCATTATCATCATCATCTAAAGTCTAGCTATGGCCCCTTTCTACCAACCATGCCTCAGTCACAAATGTACCAGGAGACTTATCAGACTGTAGGCAGCAGCTCAGAGCTTTATGACCCCTGAGGGACACTGTTGTAAACGTGTGAATGTGCTTCGCCTATAGTTTTAATAATACCATCAGTCCTCAGCAGGAGGAGTGAATGGTGATGACTTTAATCTGTGGTCGATATCTTTTTACACCACAAGGCATCAGTGATCTGAATCACTTGACTCAAAGTTGGAGGGCTGCAGTGAAGAGGAGGCCAACGGGAGAACAAAGCTCATTATGAAGAAGAAGTAAGGTCCTTTAGGCTTGAACATATACATACTATCTCGCACAAGTACAAATATAAGTGTGTACGCCATCAAAAGGCAAATGTTTTATTTTTATGTTTGGCTTTGAGTTTCCCGGTTCAGGCCACTGGTGTCTCCTGTTCCTGCCAAGACCTGGTTCCTCCGAGAGCTAATATGACGCACAGCAAGAATCTGGCTACCTATACACACTCCGTACATACACATGCTACTGAGGAGGTCCACAATACGCTAAAACACTAACGTTGCAGAAATTCTTCACACATTTATTGTATATTTTATGAAGTATTTTCATTCAAATGGATCTGCACTAAAAATGGAATTCATAATCCTTAATTATTGACCAGTGGCTGAACTTCAACAATATTTCAGAGAAACACTGAAAATACGGAGATATCGCTAACAGGCTACAAGCATACAACAAATACCAAAATAACCTGCTTAATGGAGGTTATGAACACACACCTGCACGTTAAAAAATGTGTGTATTGTCCCACTGACCTTCGAGAGCCAATATGACGCACAGCAAGATTCTGACTAACTAAACAGACTCCTTCCATACACATGCAACTCAGGACTATTCTATGAACCCCTTTTTTCCCAAATGGATCCGTGAAAATTATTGACCAATTGTTGATCTTCTACCACAATTCACTGAAATAACAGTGAAAAGACTGAGATATTGCTAACAGGTGTAATAGAAAAATATTATACTCACTTACTTACTTTAATAATATCATTGTGTGATTCTTATTTGCTAATGTTTGTCTATATTTACTGGCTTTCAGGTCTTTGCCAAGCTTGGGACAATTCTTCATTAAGAAGATTTGTTGCAGTGTTGTTAGTTACACTCTCTGTGCACCAACAGTATGACCTTCAACTTCTGTTGAACTGAGAACATCCTGATACCTTCCAGAATGCTTCTTTCATTATGTATCAACAAGCTTGACCCTCCCTTTTCTCCTCTCTCTTTGTTAAAATATGCAACCCAAACTCTACTCTTGGTCTTTCACTCTGCAGACTGTATGCTCTCTGTATGACTGACTGAACGTTCTTGCAAGAATTAAAATACCTCAAAGACAGTTGAATGGTTTGATTATTTTTCCATATTTGATAAAGTAAAATCCCACCACAGGTAACAGCCATACAAAAAATAAGCTTGATGGAGGTTTATAACACACCTGACTGGGTACAAAATGTACTTTTTTTTTTGTCCACTGACCAAATGGCTCAAATTCTACCAACCACTCAATATACTGCCATTGTTTTCTTTGTTGGGCGAAAACAAATCTACTAGCCACTTGCATATTCTACCAGCATCTAGCTTGTTAACGATGCCCGACACATGCCTATATGAAGGCAATATTATGATCTGGTCTGATATTCAAATCAGTGAGGTGTTCACTCCTGGACATTCAGTTGGTCTCAAAGAGATGAAGCATCATGGGAAAAGGCCTGGACCCTCAGCTGGGCCCGGCTCTTTCACACCTGATCATCCATTAAGCTGCAGAGGAGCTGCTGGACTTCAGGGCTGAGTGTTGCTGTTGTTCCTCACAGCTCCATGTATCAATCTTTGTGCCGACCGGAGCCGACCCTGCCACGCTCCACCAGCCATCCGTCCAAGCAACACTAACAATTATACAACGATTACGTCCCCGGCTGCTCCTGCAGAGCGGGGGGGCGACCGCCTCAGGCTCTGATGGGATGCAGAGTTACCCTGTCGCTGTGCTCAGTCCCACACAGTATATAAACTACATATTCTCCTACTTTACGCATCGTTTTTCTATTGTTGTATGTTATTGTACATTGTCAGAATACCGTTTTTGGGGGTCTCGCTTGAAGACCTGCCTTAAAATCATCGAGCTTTGAGTCTGTCCTATTAGTTTTTTTGTTTTGTTGAATTAAAATACAGAATAGAAAACTGTGTAATAACACATGATTTATTACATTTGTAGAAATAACATTAAGAGATGCCTACCAAAAAACAGTTAAGCTGGAATCTGATCAGACTCAAAGGAATTTCTGTGATTCATCTGTTTACCCCTTTTATTTAGCCTTTAAGCAATCATTTCAAGCTTTTCTTCCTAGAGTCAAAGTACATTTAATTACAAACATTTTCAGAAGTAGCCTGGATCTGGGTCCTCCTCATGGACTTGTAGATTAAGATGCATAATGAATAGCCGCCTTATTCCTTGTTCAAACCAGGCCAGGGACCTCAGTCGCATCTCATACCCGTTCTCCTCAGCTTTACTATCAAATGGCAAAAATGCCAAGTCATTCGTAAACTAAACAGGAATCCAGGTGTATTAAACTGCTGTTTACTTCTGGACCTTCATTTTTGCTGTGTTCGTCAGCGTAAAGCCCCATATTCCCTGTTCCATTGTGAATGTAATTATTCACTTTTGACACCTGGTGTGCTGACAAGGCAGAAATTTAACAACAGAAGTCCATCAGCAACAGAGTTAGCTTATCGCAGAAAGCAGAGTAATTGTCCTGTCGCTCTATACAGAAAGCCGCTGACAGCCACAAGAAGTGTGTGTGACTTTTCAGTCGGCACATACTGAATGTCAGGTCAAAATCTGAAAAGACTCCATTATGTTCTTGTAATTTATCAAATAAGAGCACATTATGGGAACCTTATAAGTGACAAAACATGTGGAACGTCCACATAAGCGTACAGCATGAAGTATAGCCAGAGGTGTAATGCAGTGAAGTAGATTTACTCAAGTACGATTTTGGGGCACTTGTACTGTATAAAGAAGCATCAAATAAAAATACTAAGTAAAGTACATCTACTCTACTACAATTTGGAAGCCAATATTGTACTTTTTACCCCACTAAATGAAATACAAAGACAGTTACTATTTACTTTACAAATGATTATCTAATACGATATACAAGTAAACTAATAACACAACTATGCTATACAATTATAGGTTAAGATGTCCAGCGGTAATATATAAAGTCATTAAAAGTACCCCCACCTTGACCAGCCGTGATGAACACAATAAAGCAGCAATAATTAAAGATTCTAAAATGGAACAAGTGCTCTTAATTTCGGTACTTGATGCCTATACTTTAAATGCAGAACTTTTACTTGTGCCAGAGTACTTTTACACTTTTGTATTTCTACTGTATCTATATCTGAGTACTTCCTCCACCTCTGAGTATATCACATACAGGCTTGTAACTCCCTATCACTCTCCTTCACTCTCTCTGCCTGTCATTGGCTGAGGAGCAGCTGATTGACAGCCATCACAGCAGCTAACATCAGCATGGCCTGTAAAGGTTGTGTGAGAGGTCGCGTCCACCATGTGTCACCAGAACACCTACAGACTAGAACTGTCTCCTCACGCCTCCGCTCAATCAGCTACCTGAGCGGAGAGAAATATGTTTCACTCAACCCTCTCAAGTGCCCTAGATACTGTAAACAAATATTATGTAATACTGAAAAAAGTGCAGCAACTAGAAACAGATTTATGCAGTCAGAAGTTGAGGAAGCACTTTGGTTACAAAATAAATAAGTAAAGCACTGTGGTTTCTCCTAGTTATGTTTGCGTTATTTGGAACTCTGTCTATTTTTGCAGCTTTATCTTGGATGCGTGTTACAATCTGGGACATGGTCGCTATGATTTTTCAAAAGAACGCACCAAAAACAGCAAAATATAAATGGAAATCCAGGCAATGTGCTGCAGCGTATTGACAAATTCAGAAACAACCATACAAGTATGTCAAACATGATGATTCAGGGGATTCTATACTTTGAGTAAATCCTTAACACTGCGCTTTAAGAAGAAAATGTACTAACGTCCCTTATCTGACCATTTTAGCATTTCATCAGATCTTACACCACATGATTTATTGTGAATACTCGATCCCTTTTATTTTATTAGGTGTTTTTGTTGGCTAATTATCTGTATTTTTACCATGGTTGAGGCCAGACTAACACATCAGCTCTCCTTTATACTGCGGTACTAATGTTGCTGTATTTTCATCTTCCAAAACCATGGTAACATTGCAGTTGGGACTGTTTCTGCTGATGAGTCCATGTGTTTGCTGCAGTTGTAACCTTTGCCACCTCCGTTTCTCTCGCTGCTTAGAGCCTGGCAGACTGGCATCCAAACTGTGTGTGCCCAGTCGGGGGTCCCATTGCATTCAGCTCAGCACGTCCTATCCTATCAGCAGTGTCACGGATTACCCAGCGCACTGAAGCTCAAATCCCTTCAGGAGGAGGGAGAGCCAGAGAGAGCTACAGCGCAGAGTCAGCGTGAGGTCACTTAAGTCTGCCGCGGTGAACATAATTTTGACTTTGCTGAAATAAAGACCCAGCGAATGATGAGAAACTAATGTTTTCTCAAGAGCCGGGTTTTTGTGCCTCATACTGATCTGAAGCCAATTGGATATTTTTTCTTTGCAGAAGCTTTTGTAACAATACATGTTGGTCTTCCTGCAAAATCTATACATTTGCATAAAAACACATGTGCTGTATAATTGAACAATTAGCTAAAAGAGGTTAAAAGGCTCCGTGGAACCCCTTGCAATGTGCAAACACTTGTGAAACAGATGCAAACAAGGTTATAATCTTTCAAAATGTTCATTTGTTTCCCAAAGAGGCCCTATTATCCTTTTGGGGGTTTTCTATTTCCTGTAGTGTGTTATATAGGTTTTGGTGCATGTCAATGGTCTGCAAAGGCTAAAGTCCCTGTGTTCCCTTCAGAGGGAGTTTCTCTCCCACACACTCGGACATTGGACTCCTTTGTTTACTTCTGTTACAAAGTGATATCACTATGTAACACTTCCATTGGCTAGTCCGCTCACATTGTATGTGATCATCTCTAAGAGGTTGACCAATCACAACAGACCCAACCTGCTAACCAATCAGAGCAGACTGGGCTCTGGTTTCAGACAGAGGGTGAAAAGAGGTGCTGTAGCACAGGCAGTATGAGAAAAATAAAGAGCTTTTTGAACATTAAAGCATGGAGACATGTCACAGTAGAGACACAAAATACAATTATAAACCTGAAAATGAGAACAATAGGTCCTCTTGAAATGTTCAGTTTAGTTTGTTACATTTCAGAGAGTATTTGCTACTTTTACAAATTGGTCTTCCTGCCGGCCATAAGGATGATCCATGAGCCATTGAGCTAAGACATCGGTTTCATCTCTCATTGATCCAAAGAAGCACCGGTTTGCACCATTCAAAACATTCCTCCACACATCTGTCCACTTCATGAATACTCATCCACCCTGCAGTCACACACTAACACACACTGACCTGCATCTCCTTGTCTCCATACTTGGAGGGGTGCTTGCTGCCCTGGCTCTTTCTGCGCAGTTTTTTCAGCTCCGCCTGGCACTTCTCCAAACTCTCCCCTTTGCTCTTGTGCTCCGTCTGGTACTTCTTCAGCGCGGCCTGAGGGAGGCAGCACACAGTCAGCAGGGCAGTCATGTGTCAGCATCCACAGAAGATGTATAACACTGATGGACATACAATCATAGCAGGCTGGCCTGACAGGTGGTCAGCTTCTGTTTTATTGACCGGTGCGTAATGGAAGCTGGAGGATGGCACTTTGGGATTACGCTTTAGTTATAGCCCCTCCTTTGTTCTGGCTGTTTCTAGAGCATCACAGAATTAATTGGGTACAAAAATGTGGTACAGGTGACAACTTTTTCACGCTTCCCCAAGCAAAAACAAAATCATTAGCTGAAGGTTTTAAAGAGGCCTTATTATGCTTTTTGGGGTTTTCTGTTTCCTGTAGTGTGTTGTAAATGGTCTGCAAAGGCAAAAAACCCAAAGTTCCCTCCAGAGGGAGTTTCTCTCCCACACACTTTTCCCCCCCCCCCCCGCCTGAAACGGCTCAATTGGACTCATTCATCACTATGTACCACCTGCACTTCTTTTAGCTGGTGCTAAGTACGTTATAGGCTAAGGGGCGGGACATCTCTAAGCGGTTCACCAGTAACAAACGAGCTGGCCAGCTAACCAATCAGAGTGGACTGGGCTCTGGTTTCAGACAGAGGGTGAAAAGAGGTGCTGCAGCACAGGCAGTATGAGAAGAATAAAGAGCTTTTTGAACATTAAAGCATGGAGACATGTCCCAGCAGAGACACTACATACTAATATGAACCTGAAAATGAAGAGAATATGTCTAACTAACAAAAATGCCAACCATTTGTGCCTCCAGCTTCTTAAATGTGAGAATTTGCCCTTTTATTCCTTTTATCTTTCTTGGGGTTGGTTTACTTTTATTCATAGAGGCACAACATACACATATGAACCTGATAATGAGCATTGTATGTCAGCTTTTTATGTCCATACTTTGCATCCTGCATTGTGAAAAAAGCACAAACTAACAAAGTATGCCTGCTCTATGTGTTTGTACAATATAACGTATTTGACCAACATGAACAAGTACAAATCAAATGTTAAACGGGTCATTAAATGTCTCTAGAGCTGATTTGCATTTGGATATGTCAGAATTTCAGACTATTTGAAAGATCCAAACATACACGTCTAAAATGATTCAATGTTTCTGGGAGTATTTCCAAACTACTGATCACCATAAATGAACAAGCCTATTTTTTTGTAATGCAAAATGCCTCATTTTCACAGAATGAGTCATAATTCATGGTGGAGTGGGAAGTCATTTATGTAACTCTCTGCAGTGGTTTGGATAAAATCCGATGGGAAATTAGGGAGAGAGTGCGCATTCTGTTTCTGATTTCATGAGAAGATGTCCCACACCGTATTCCCCATAACTTCACTCCCTGGGGAGGCCCTTACTCTCGAGGAGCAGAGCTAAAAGTAGGGTTGCATGAAGCATGTGGGTCATGTACACTGTTACATAATATGATTATGATTGATGCTTTCAAGCCATCAATTATTAATTTCAGTTGGAAAAAAAGTTTTTAAAGTTTTTCTTCTTTACTGAAATTGTGAATAAGTTTGGTACTGTAAGGCTTTTAAAAATGTAATAATCACCATTTTCAGCACAGTATAAGGTTGAGCAGATATGAGAAGAACATATGAGTTAGACTTTAAACATATTACAGTATTGAAATAGATTTTTTAAAACTTAGTTTTAAGGGTGTGTTTGCTTGTTTTATTTAGTGACGTTATCGACACTTGTTTGGGCAATCTATAATGTCTTAAGAAGTACCATAGACGTAAAAAAATACCTGGTTTCAGAACTGTGTAGAGAACTCAGAATGAAACGGACATTAGACCTGAGACTGGTCAAATGATATTTGGTAAAATGTTCTTGTTTTTTAATTCTTCAACAAAAGTAATAAATAGCAGGGATCAACTGTGGAGCAATTGTGGCATAGCGTCATCTCCTGGAAGGTCAAGTTGGTTCAGTTTCCGAGGTACAGAGAAAGTTTAAGGAAACCAATTTCAACTCCTTTTACCTAGTTATATATTAAAGAAAAAGAAAAGTTGAACTGAAATGAATTCAAGGTGTTTTCTATTTTATTCTTAACCAGGCAAAATTGTTTTAGTATTCATTAAAGGATATCATTGTTATGATCATATTTTTTTATATTATTTTTTAAGAGTTTTATTTTACTCTAACAACACTAATAACAGCTTAATCATGTGGTGTTTCTGTAATAGTGTGACATCAGAAAGGGATTCTCACGTTCAGGTAGCGAGCGTCCAGCTCCACCTTCTTCTCCAGCTCTGTGAGCAGCTCGTTGTGGAAAGACTTCAGCTTTAAGACACAGAGACAGAAACCTCAGAACAATACCACAAACACATTGAACCTCAAGCGGTTCAATTATGCTAAACCACAGTGCATTATTTTTTTTTAAAAAGGAGGGCAACATTGCAGTGATGTTTCGCAAGAATGACTGGAATGGATGTCTTTGTCTTGCTGTCGGAAATGTCGCACCCAAACGATTAGGGGAGGATGTCTGGTATGTGAAAGCATGCCAAAGTCAATTTGCTATCTCAGCATGTTTTGTATGTGTGGTCGGGCTGAGCAAAGCTGAATACATGTAAGTGGTGAAATATTACAAAAAGAAACTGCAAATGCTAATAAAAGTCTTTTATATATTTCAATTGTTAGAGTATAGCAATCTAATAGCCCACTAAGGAAACTCTCACCCTCTTTGTCTCGCCCCTTATCCTCCATGTTGGGAGATGATACTACTATCAGCAGGATACTTGCTAAAAAAGCAGGAACTCTGTGCAAGAGAGAGAGAGCATCCGATCCGGTTACTTTCCCTCAACTTCATGTAGAGGTGAAAACACTCGCTGTCTTTTGACTGGCGGTAAAACTGATTCTAGGGTTTGAGCTAATCACATAAAAAGTAAAAACATTTAACAATACCGTGCATTTCTTTATCTACAAGGACCCCAACTACGATGTTCAGTCAGGCAAACAATTAAACAATGTCTCTGGAAATCGTTGATCTGCATCAATATATAGTTATACGGTCACTACTTTGACTTTTAACATATCAACTGTTTACTTTGACGGTTGAAGTATTTCCCACAGGCGTATTGACTGAACGGGTCCCATTGAAAATGGAAAGACAGATCATTTCTTGTACCGTCCTTTTTTCTAGGTGAGAGTAAAGAATTGTATGACTTTGGATATTTGTTGCAGTTTGACGTGCAATACACGACACAGCAACTTTTACGCATGATACAACTATTATATCCGCTTGGCCCCAAGAATGTGTGATGAGTAGTGATCAGGGTGGATATGTCAGTGTAAAGAGATATGTTTTGAGACCGTGGTTGAAGTGGGTGAGAGAGATCAATAGGTGAGGTGCGGTGGGGGGGGGGGCGGAGGAGGCGGTTGATGTTACGAATATGGAAATAAGCAGACCAAATGACATTAGTGATGTGAGTTTTGAAAGAAAGTGTGCTGTCGAAGATGACACCCTTATCACACTTATCTAAGATTTCATGAGTTCAGAACAGCGTTACAAAAGTTAGAATTGTATTGCCTAATGTCACGATTGCACTCAATCCCAATGTCCCTGTAAAAGACATAAGCATCTGCTCTGTGCCCAATTTGTAAATGATACTGCTCTGCATAATGGTGGCCTTGGATCATTGACATCCATTACCCAAAAAGAGCATCTTCTCTGCTAATGTTTCCACAATTGGCCAATTTGGAAGATTCAAATTAAATCTTTTGGGAGACTGAAAAGAAAAGTGTTTCCAGTCTGTAATGGCTGTAATTTACATATAAGATCAGTAAACTTGTTATTAAGTGAAACTGCTGCCTTCAGAAAATAGAAGTAGGCTACGTAAGAGTTTGTTTAGCTGAGTATTAAATATCAAAATAATGTGGAGGCTCCAAAGAGAGGCCCACCATCTGTTTGGCTCGTAACTGGTTGCTTAAGAAAGTGCTGATTTTAGCACCACATGCTCACCATCTCCTCGAGCTGGATCTGGATCTGTCGGTGCACTTCAGCCATCTGAAAGAGCACCTCCCCTGCAGAGAGAAGACAAAGAAAAGAAAGAAAGACGATAAACAAAGAAAGGGAGGGGAGGAGAGAGAGAGAAAAACTGTGTTATTAAATCTTTCCAAATTATGTAAGAGCTACATAAATCGTGCAAAAATAAAAACACCATGCAGCAACACGGAACAGATGTGAGACAGGTGTTGGGAGTAGGAGGAGGAGGAGGAGGAGGAGGAGGAGGAGGAGGAGGAGGAGGCGATGGACAAGATGAAACAACAGTCATAACACTGACGGAACGTAACAAACTCAAAAGAACAGCGCAGACAGAATTATGAAAAATCAAAAAGCCAATCAAGCAATCTACTGATGGAGGTTTTCCAGAAGAGCTTCTGCCAATAAACACACAAGAGCAAAATAAAAAGAAATCTAAAAATCAGGTATTTCATCTGAGTCTTATGCAACAACAAAACAAAAGAAAATAGCAAAAACATAAGTAAACACTAAAAGAATAAGAGCATGAATCATGCAGCCAAGGAGGTGCGTGTCGTTTTAAGATACCTACATGCTGCCTCCTCTGAATATGCAATGCGTTGTAAAAAACAAAAAGGAACAAAAAGATTGAGTTTGAGCAAAGAACAGAGGGAGAAAAGACCTGGAGAGACAGATCAAACTACCCCAGGAATAATGAGACACACACAACAGGTTGTCACACAGAGAAAAAGACAGACAGGCAGTTAGTCAGACCCCTGTTTACACCGGCTGCTGGATAACAGGTCATACTGGGGGTTCTGGGTTCATGTTTTTACATCAACACATTTTAGAAGAAATATCTCAAATGTGTTAAGAAGCTACATGGGTTTAACTTGATCAGTATTCATGTTGGCCAATATGAAATTGCAACACAAAAATGTGATGGATATGTTTAAAAGTCATTTTATATCACCATTAATTTGTCCATCAAAGAGTAGAAAGTTAATTTGTACACTGTAAAATGCACATTACATAACTTGATCCTGATTCTTACTATTATGAATGTATTTTATTTTAGTTGTGTTTATGACACCACCTTTTGGTCAGAGTACCATTATAAATTCTAAAAGCTTCTATTCGTCTCAAAAATCCGAAAGATACTTCATAATTAAACAAATAAATAAATAAATATAGGTGATATAACACTTATGTAACAACTGGTAAAATATTGATATATAAAATGCAAATAAAACCTAATATTTATTACACTTCAATAAAGAAAATAAGGCGTATGCATAAAAACACATTTTCTTATTCTAATGTACTTGCAATCTCTTATTGTAATTCTACCAAAATATGGACAAGATATTGCTCTTTATAAAACGGACAAGTCAAATCAAGCAATCTGATTGGTTCTTAGCCGTGATATACTGAGCGTATACCACGGGTAGAATTGTAGTTACTTTTCACAACAAGTCAGTATCCCTCCGCGTTTGAGAAAAACTGTATACAGTTGGGCTGAAAAGCAAACTGCATGCAGTTTGCCGACCCTCCACTTCGGGCCGAACCACGCCCCTTAGATGTGATATAATGAGCATATACCATGGCCTGTCGTGAGCTAATGCTTAAATATATATCAACCAGGCACCAATACATGTATAATAAGTGTATACATTGGCATTGAGGCCACAGTTAAACACTATGCAGCTGCAGCTTAAAGCACCGAGAGACAATTTATTCCAGACGAGCCGACTGATATGCATTAACGGCAGTCATCTGCCTTTAGCATAATGTATGCTCATATCAGGTAATGTATAGAGCTGACATGAAGGAGCACTGAGCGGGGTGTGGGGGAGTTCCGTGGGGTGTGGGTGGTCCAGTGGACAGACAGCGGACAGAGGACAGAGAGAGTGGGCAGGAACCGGATTAAATGGCTTAAGGGAAGTGCTGCGGTCATGCAGACAAGACTCAGTTGAAGTAGAAGGGATTAAGAAAGGTCAGAGCAGGAGGTAGGTGGCACAGGTGGGAAGGAAATAAGTGAATATTCAAGTACTGCACTTAAGACTAAGAGGATATATTAGTTATTTCTTAAGAATACAAGGAGATACAGACATGTAAAACGGATTTGTTCGTTCATACTTAACCGAGGTGACGGAACACCAACCCAAGACTTTTGATTGTGTTTAATCAAAATCATTCTTTAGAAATATGTTAAAAAATGTTGTCCGATAAAAAGGAAAAACGTTTAGACTGAGATGGAATCGCTCACACTACTTCCTAAATTTGCAAAGCGGAAACATGTTCTGACAAGTAAGTTTGAACCAAATGTTACATTAGGGATGGAACAACAAGTGTGGCAAGAAAACATCTCACCCTTAATGCGACACAAAACAAAGTGACAACCGAACAATTTTGTCGGCCTTCAACTCAGGATTGAGTGTGTGATTTCTGAAGTCTTCTTTACGGAAAAACTTTGTTCGGCTTCATGAAAAAAAAACTCAGCAATAGGGGACTTTGAGGTAAAATAGCTGCCCTTTACCTTCCCACAGCAACACAGATGTCACATATACCAATGGCATACAAGGCATTTTTGCCCAGTCAATGCTAACGCTCCAAAAACACATCACACAAGCAGCCCCCGCCAATCTGCTTATTAAAATGCTGTCGCAGCGATAACACTGTAGAAGTGTTGGAGTGCCGCAGGACAGGGCATTAGGAGTAGTGAGGCAGATAAATGCACTGCGTATACTTTCAAATTCTCCTTTGATTCTTGGAGGGCGCCCAAACACACTCCATCCCATCCATTAATAAACAGCCACCGGGCATCCACCAGCTATGGCAACTGGGCTGAACTCAGGCACCTCCACCACACACACACACACATCTCGGAATATTTGTCTTTTTTCACTAAATATTAGCAGGCTTTGTCCAAATAGAAAAGGAACGTTGTAATTCTGACAGTGAAAACTACTACTCATGCCAAAATAAGACCGTTAGACCGTCAAGATCCCCCATGATACAGATACATGATCTGATCTCATACACATGAATGATGAACCATAAGAATATTCTCATTACTTGCTAATCTGTTAATAATTTTCTCGATTAATTGTGTGGTTTATATAAAAATAAAAATAAATGAAGTACATTCCAGATCCATAAAGTCCAAATTCCAGGGTACATTAGTCAAAAACCCAAAAGATATTCATGGGGTTACCTTCCCTGCTAGCTTGCACTGCTACATACCGCTGTTATCTGATTCGTCCGCCTGGAAAGGTCAGCGCTACCGAGGTCAGAGTTTAAATAATTTGAACTTTTGAACACAGCACACGGCAACAATTTCGCTCTCTCCATAGAAACTCAACAGCAACGTCAGCGCAGAGACGTTTTTTACCACGTATCATACGATTGCGGGCCGGCTTAAAGTGCACCTATCATGCTATTTTTAGGCATATATTATGGGTCTATGATGTGTTTTTCTCACAATACAAACAGATCATGCATTTTAGGCATCCCTTATACCCCTCTATTGCAGCCCTGTTGGAGAAACTCTGATTTTGGGTCCTTAGCTCTAGATCAGAATTCTACCGTGAGAAGTTACATTCTGCTGTGATAAAACACCATCCTTTTCTAAACCACATCAAGGATTATTTCTGAAATAGTATGGAGCTCAAATGCTTTTTCTCTTGCGGGTTTATCACAAGGTGAGTTCTTTTTTATTTCCTGCTCTTTAAAAACACATGTGCTCTCCAGTACAGGTTAGCTCTGAGTGTTAGCGATGCTTGCTAATGTAAACTAATACCATATTACGTCCAAAACACGTCAGGCATTGTTTGTGATAGCAAATCTCTGTGGGCCCACCATCCGAAATTACGTAATATCGGCAGCAAATCTGTATCCGCTCGTTGTACCCCTGTTTTTAAAAGATTTGGGTACGGAGGAAAAGAGAGAGGGTTTTATTTTCTGACGCTGCGTGAGTTCCCCGACGCACCGGGGACACATATTTATGTGTAAAAGACTTAACAAAGTGCATTTTGCATGATAGGTCCCCTTTAATTAATTGTCAAAATATTTTTTTTTCTGTTTGATCCACTGAATCATTGAAGCTCTCCTTGTAAGGGTCGGTATAGGTAAAGAGCATTTGATTTTGGGTAGCTGGTGCTTTAAAAATATTGCATTAAACGCTTTCTTATGTACAACTACCAATGTCATGATAAGCAAAACAAAATCAGAAAAATTAAGTTGAAAAAACACAGGTTTTTGAAAGGTTAAATAATGATACATCAAAGCAACCTTGCACTGTGAACACTCCCTCCAAAGACCAGTTACTGTACAGAGGGAAAATGTCTGACAAGGTGTTACCCTTCAGCTGGTAATAATATATTTAAAGAACAACTTGCAGGTTAGAGACACCAGTGAATAAATGTGTAGGAAAATGATGAATACACTAGATTTTCAAAAAAATATGTAACATCTGGCGTCGTTTTTGTAAGACATTTTTACTTCCGCATAAAAAAAGCCTCCCCACGTGACCTCCCGCGTGTGACGTAACATGTGGGAGCGGCCGGTCTACCGTAGTAATAAACATGGATCACAATGCCAGTTTTGACACAGAAGAGGTTGAAAATATATATTCTAATGCATATGATTATAATTATGAGCCTGCTAGGCGTCCAAGAGACCAGGAGCAGCCCAAGGATTAGAAGAAAAAATATAAACGGCTGGAGGAGTACAGCCACCACAGCGTTACCTAATGCAACTCCACGTTTTAGGTGCTGTGTACCGGAGGGGAGAGAGAGAGAGAGAGAGAGAGGAGCGAAGGGGGGGAGAGAGATGTAATACGGTTTCCTGATAAACGTTTTGTTTGATAGGCTTCTGCTGTGGAGAGTAGGTGCTGCAGGGAGGTGGATGATGCACAAAGCACCCAGGAACGAAAGCTAGCTCCGGTCCTTTTCCTGTTAGGGAAATTGTGGACTCGATGTCCTGACAGGCTTGAGTTTGTGCAACCTGCACA